TCTTCATAATCTTTCCTTTATTTTTTTCTTTCTCCTACTATTCTACACTTTGTATCTTTTGGTGTACCACCTCACCTTTGGGTACCTCTTGAACTTCCCCTCTTCTACACTTCCTTCCTGAGGATGTAGTTCCCCTATTCTGTCTATAACGTAATGTGGTACCTACACTATATTACCAAAGGTATTGGGACGCCTTTACACGAACATGAACTTTAATGGCATCCCAGTCTTAGTCTGTAGGGTTCAATATTGAGTTGGCTCCGCCCTTTGCCACTATAACAGCTTCAACTCTTCTGGGAAGGCATCCACAAGGTTTAGGAGTGTGTCTATGGGAATGTTTGACCATTTGTGAGGTCAGGTACTGATGTTGAATGAGAAGGCCCGGCGCGCAGTCTCTGCTCTAATTCATCCCAAAGGTGTTCTATCGGGTTGAGGTCAGGACTCTATGCAGGCCAGTCAAGTTCCACCATCCCAAACTTGCTCATCCATGTCTTTATGGACCTTGCTTTGTGCACTGGTGCGCAGTCATGTTGGAACAGGAAGGGGCCGTCCCCAAACTGTTCCCACAAAGTGTTGTTGTGCCAATCTGAAGGCCACATGAAGTTTGAAGATTTGTAGCTGTTGACTCTGCAGACAGTTGGCGACTTCTGTGCACTGTGTGTGTCAGCAGGATTGCCCCCCTCTGTCATTGTACGTGGCCTACCACTTCCTGGCTGAGTTGCTGTTGTTCCCAGTTGCTTCCACTTTGTTATAATACCACTAACAGGTGACCGTGGAATATTTAGTAGCAAGGAATTTCACAGAACAGCTGAATCCAATGATTTGGAGGGGTGTCCCAATACTTTTGGTAATATAGTGTATATGAGTTGTACTCAGCATCCATACACATTTCATAATTACTCTATTTGCATTACTTTCCAGGTTTTCAGTGTTGTACCGATTTGTACGCTCCTTCTTCTGGTTGCATCCCCTTTACTCATTATACATTCATCGAAATGTGCCTTTTTCCTCACATCAAATTTTATATGTCTGTACTTTTCAAAACTTGGATTGTTGATTACTCTGGTTTTTTTTCTACTTCAATAAAAATTTGTATGGAAAAAAAGTTTTTACACTGTATCATTTAGAGTCTCTTAATTCTCTGTAGTGAGCAATGTGCATGCACTCTCTAGTACATTTCATCCAATTTGCTCTTATACAGAGGTTTAGGGCCGTTTCTTTCCGCTGACTAGCGTATTGAGATGACTGTTTGTACATGCAGTTATAAGTCCTCTGAAACTACCGATCTTACTGTTATGTCGACATGTGTATTCAACCTACTGTTTTGCACTCTGTATGTTCCTGCTCTTTGTACTTAATAAAAATATATTGTTAAAAAAGAACTGAAAAATATAACTTTAAGCCTTCTGGTCAGGATCAGTTCAATCACAAATGCAAAAAATGGTCTTAATTATGTTGAGCTTAGTGAAATACACTAAAGGCCAATTTCTAAACACTAACACTATTAAAGAGCTGGCCTTCTTTACTGAAAAGGATGAAATGTTAAACATTAAACCAGAAGACGTCATCTGGAATGAAGGCAGAGTACGAAATCATTTTACTATGCATCCAAAATATTTGTTGACATTAATTACAATGTGTTTAAAATGGGAAAATGCCTATTGTACAGATCTGAATGCAAACGTGATCAGCTTAGGGGTCAATTCACAAAGCTGCTGAGGGATCTAGCCGTAGCTTCGGCTGATCCTTTGGCTAGCTTCTGCCCCAGGACTCTTTCGGTTCAGTAGAACCGACGGGCTGCTTTATGGGCTATTCACTATAGTTGGCCGAAGTTGGCCGAGCGGCTCAGTCGAGACGAAGGCATATGCTTCGGCTGACTGATCCCAGGTGAAAGTCGAAGCTGGCCTACAGCCTGCTACTGACAGCTGGGCGGAGCCAGCCGTCATCTCACGGCTGGCTCCAGCCACTTGCAGAGACAGATCAGCATCCCTGGTTACCAGGTAACCAGGGATGCCCATCTGTCATTACACTGAGAACCCAGCGGAGCCACCGTGATATCACGGCGGCTCCGCCGGGTTCTCAGTGTGAAATGTTGTGCTGAATAATAAATAGTAATAAATAAATAATAAATAGTAATAAATACAGTAATAAATAGAAATGCACCAATACCTATACCGATACTAGTATTATCATACTTGCCCAAATGCTCCGATACTGTTGTGACTGCAATAATGTACAACATAGCATATACATTGCAAAAGTCAGGAGATTTATGTGCGACACAACATAAACAGTGTACGGCATGCAGTGCAAGGGTCAGAGGTATAACATACAACATAGCTATTGCAGTACTGAGGACAGACGTATAATGTACAACATAGCTAATACAGTGCAGGGGCCAGGAGTATAACATCTCTGTGAGTGCACAGTGTGGGTGAAGCGCTCTTTCACTGCTTCCTTTTCCCAGCACCAGAGTCAGAACAGAACTTGGCATGGCCCCATAAGGAGGCACTATAATGCTCCCTTCCGTAACACCACACAAAAGCACAGATGTGCTGAACTGCATTAGGGAGAATTTTCATACAAATGAGCCACCACCGGATTTACCTGTGACTGATTCCCCACCTAAATTGCATATGAATAAGCTTTAGGCACAATGTAACAAGGGAGGGGATGCCAAACTGAGGAAGTGACTGACAGACTTAACGAGTTTCACACTATGATCCCAAGACACAGCCCGGGTCACAGTCTTCAAAGGGACGGCTAAATAAAAAAGGGGACTTTCAATATGTATACTTGTCTAAATCCATCATAGTGACAATACTAGAAGAGAGGTGTGGAAAGCTTACGACTCCAAGAGGTCCTCTTACTATGCTTGCACAGTAGCTGGGAAGTCTGTTAAAGGAGAACTATGAGGGGGGTGCTTTTCACTCACCTCATAGTTCTGGCTGACCTGTGACAATGAGACTGTCACAGGTTGGCTCAGTCATTCGGGAAGTGAGCGAACACATACCGGCATTCACTCACCTCTCGATCCTGTCACGGCTCTCTGCTGGATTCCTCCCTCCCCGCTCCGATCCGCCAGCGCTGACTGGATGGGAGAGGGGGCGGGTACAGCTAGCTCTGCCTCTAGATAGGCAGAGCCAGCTGTCAGTCACGCAGCTGGGCGGATCCCGGCATAATTGTCGGGATCCGCTTCAGCTGTGCCGTCTCAGTATACAGCAAGCTACAGCTCGCGGTATACTGAGCCTAGGGTGACGGGAGGACACTAGTTTGTGTCCTCCCATTACCCTAAGGAGAACTATGGGGAAAAGCCTTAACCACATAGTTCTCCTTTAAGAGATCTTCGAGACACCTGGTATTGCAAGTATGCATGCACTATTTTTTTTTTTTTCAAATTCACATGGTTCACATTAAAAAATCTTTTTCAGTTCTGCTTTAAAACAAAGAAAACAAATATTTGTAAACAATGTTTATGGAGTACAATAATGTACGGAGGACGTATCCAAATACTGTTCAACCAAGACTAGACTAGAGAAAAACTCAAAAGTTAGGAGGCAGCTGTCATTTTTAAAGAGCTCCTCGGATTTGTGTCTCCTCGTACAGTGTACGTGACAAGTCATTTGGTCCCTTTGTGGCTGGACGTACAGTGTACGTCTCCCGTCACGAAGGGGTTAATGTGTGATTTGTTATATACAGTATATATTAGGGATGCAGTGATACCATTTTTTCCATACCAAGTATAATTAATGATACTTGTCGTCACAGATACCAATTACCAATACCTTTTTGTTTATTGTCATGTGACAGTTTTTCTAACACAATACAGACTAATGATTTCAGGTCAGTGGTGGAGAGCCAGAGCCAGGTCCCAGCTACAACTGCTGCAACCCTGGTAGTTCTCATTAAATTGCCAATTATCGGCTCTGGTATCTGGACATCCCTAGCTCATTCCAATCAATTCCTTGGAAAAAAATATGTCCGCATCAGTGTTCAATATAGATTATGTTTAAGTGAATTGACAGCCTACATTGGACAATCAAGTCCCTCAACATATCCGATGGAGGGTAAGCTGCCCCAACAAGACACAGTTGGAAGAAAACAACTTGATCAGAGTTTTTCTTTATTTTCTTTATTGTTGGATGGTGTGGGAATGGGTTAGATCCTCTATCAAGTTTTACTTGTTGTCTCTGTTGCAGAGATTTACCCTTCTTAAGCTGGCCATATACCTATAGATTATCTGCAGATTTTCTATGGTCATATGGTAAAAGTGCAACAGATTCCTCCATCTATGCTAAATTGTGTGGATGGAGGAATCTACCATGGGCCAAGCTTCAGTATCTTGCCAGTCAGCCCCATTGGCTGTCAAAATAGCTAAACAATCTGATTGGATGCAAGCATTGTTCAGGTATTTTGAGAGCCAGCGGGGCCGACATGCAAGATACTGAAGCTTGGCTCAGTGGGCGATTCCTCCATCCACACAGTTTAGCATAGATGGAGGAATCTGTTGCACTTTTTCCATCTGACCACAGAAAATCTGCAGATAATCTACAAGTGTATGGCCAGCTTTATTGTTCTGCTGACTAGAGACAAAGATTGTCCATATTGATTGTCTGTGCTCTTTTCAGACTAGTCATAGAGGGATGGAATAGTCACTATTATAATAACTGGAGCCAGGACAGTTGCCTGATCAGGTTATTAAACTGAGTGTAATCATGGAGGGGCTAGAAAATCAACATTCTGAGGCAGAACTTACTTTAACATATGTTATATTATTTCATAAGCCCAGGGTTCCGATAGATAAGGAATTTCCAAGTTACAGTAGCAGATAGCAGAATTGTCTCATGTTTCCCTTTATCTCTGCAGATAGTGACAGCTGCTTCCAATGCCCCAATGAAGAATGGCCTGATGAGAAGAAAGTCAAATGTATTTCTAAAACATATGATTTTCTGTCCTATGAAAATGATGCAATGGCTATGTTTTTTTCATCAGCTTCAGCAATGTTTGTGGTGATCGCATTATTTGTATTAGGGAACTTTATTTATTACCGGAACTCTCCAATTGTGAAAGCCAATAACCGGACTTTGAGCTTCATCCTTCTGACCTCCATCTTCCTGAGTTTCCTCTGTGTCTTCTTGTTCCTCGGACGTCCTGTGGATGTAACCTGCATGCTGAGACAAATTTCATTTGCGATTTTCTTTTCTATTGGTATCTCTTCTCTTCTGGCCAAGACCATCACTGTCTGTATTGCCTTCAAAGCCACCAAACCCGGTAGTCCCTGGAAAAAATTGGTCACAGTCAAAGTATCTAATTCTTTGTTCCTGAGCTGTTCCTCTGTCCAAATTCTGATCTGTGTTATTTGGGTGTCATTGTCTCCTCCCTACCAAGAATATGACATGCACTCCTATCCTGGGAAGATCATCATTCAGTGTAATGAAGGGTCAGCTTTCGGGTTCTACTCTGTGTTGGGTTATATGGGACTTCTAGCAGCTGTGAGTTTTGTTCTGGCTTTCATGGTGAGGACATTACCGGACAGTTTTAATGAGGCCAAATACATCACCTTCAGCATGCTGGTGTTCTGCAGTGTCTGGATTGCCATGATCCCGGCCTATCTGAGCACCAGAGGGAAATACATGGTGGCCGTGGAGATATTCGCCATACTGACCTCCAGTGCTGGGATACTAGGTTGTATATTTTTCCCAAAATGTTATATTATCATTTTCAAACCTGAGCTGAACACTAGGAAACAAGTATGTTACATAAAATGATTCTGAGAAGTAATAACAGGGAATGTGAAGGTAGTTGGGGGTAAACATCATCTCATCACATAATAGAAAACCCCTTTAAGTAATGTACACCTTATCATTTCTTATAAGAGAATCTCTACCAACAAGGAGTTTCTTTAATGGCCATTAATAAAGGTTTTATTACCATTACAATTATTGTGAAGTATCTCTAATTTTCAGGGTTATTCACAAAAGGGTGAAGAGTTTGGAGAAGGCCGGAGAAGGGAACAATCTAGGACAACATAGCTGATCTAGAACGTGAGCTACCCGCCTTCTACCGATAATTCCTCAATATGTTTCACTAGATCAAACTGGATTTGTCTCAGGTAGAGAGGCCAGAGATAACTCCCTGATAACATTGGAACTCCCAGCCTACGATATTTTTATCTATAGATGCTGAAAAAGCATTTGATAGAGTGGCATTGGACATCCTTCTGGAAACTCTTAGATTTATTGGATTAGGGGATAAAATGATGGGATGAATCTCTGCAATATATTGTAACCCCACAGCACAGATACGGGTAAATGGGAATACACGGCCATATGCTCACCCAAGATGCACATCCGTGCAGGTGCGGGTGTCTATACTCGTACATTGACAGGATGGTTCCTGTCTGCATCCGAGCAAGGACACCTGCACCCACACGGATGTGCAGTTCGGGTGAGCGTACGGCCGTATACACCCATAGGGAAGAACAGGCTGCTGCGTACAATTACATGCAGCACCTGTCCTTTCTGGGAGCGGCCCGATACGGCTGTGCACGCTGCACAGATCTGTACGGGCTGACATTTAGCTGTGTGCATGAGGCCTTAAGGTAAAAGTGCCTTATTATTTATTTATCACAGGTATTTATATAGCACCAACAATTTACGCAGTGCGTTACATGTTCACACCAGTCCCTGACCTCAAGGAGCTTACAATCTAAGGTTCCTATCTCATATGCATATATATATAAGAGCCAATTAATCTTCCAGCATTTCTTTTAAGTGTGGGAGGAAACCAGAATACCCGGAGGAAACCCACGCAAGCACAAGGAGGGCATACAAACTCCTTGCAGAGAGTAACCTGGCCGGGATTCATCTCCAGTGCTGCAAGGCAGAAGTGCTAACCACTACGCCGCTGGGCTGCCTCTCTATTCACAGCCTTTTCAACTTCTGCCAAACACATTCCTAAACTCTACATTTTGAATATTTTGGGAATAACTCTGTTTAGTGAATGTGAATTTGTGGTTTTAAAGGTTTTTTTGGCATTTTATTAAACTTAATTTTTTTCAAGAACACACTTTTCTTGATGCCAGACAATGGCATCACTGATACTGTTTGTGAAAATCCAACTGTTCCGTCATACCATGTACACTTCATCTTCCAAGCATGTTATTAAAAGGAATGGCATTTTTCCCATGTCACACTCGAAATCACATTAAAATGCCCCTCTCCCTGCTGTATGTTTTTATTTGCTTTCTTAAATGTCTCCCATGGCAGGGCCCAGATCCCCGTGTCATTTTTGTCAATTGGCTTGTTTATTAACTTCAAAAAAAGGGCAATAATCTAGAATCAAGATTCTCTCCAACATAGACATCAATGGGTTTCACAGATTGTCACAGACTTACCCGGCGTGTCCCTGCGCTCCAGCAACGTGGCGTCTCGTCCGTGACGTCACACCGGCTCCGCCCACGGGGCGCGGCAACACAGGTAAAAGGTCTGCTGGTTCGTCACTCTGCGTTCTCTCGTTGTGGAGAGTCGAGTGACGAACAGAGAACCTGCAGGCTGCCTTTGTATAGTCTTCCCTGATCCCTATACTGACACACCAACAGACGTATCGAGACTTCAACCCCGCTGTGAGCGTAGAGCTATACGGAGCAAAACCGCAAGTATCCTGGACTCATTTCTTCTCTAGCTGAACCTGCTACTTGTATCGTGCCTGCTTCCATACTGCTTATGTTCTGCTATATCACACGTACACTCACTGTACCGCTCCAGCTGTTCCGGATTGCCTCACATTCCCTTGCCTACACTTGCTACGTGACACTGGTCTGATACAGTCCCAAACTACAGTAGTGACGCAAGAGGGGTTGTCATTGTGCATTGTCTGCTGATAAGTCTGTAGGAACTACAGACACCTGCCGTGTACTGCTTATTGCTGATTGCTATCTGCTTATAACTTTATATATGTGCTTCGCTATTGCCTATTGCTGATTAACCTGCCGGTTACCTATCCATTGACGCTGCATGATTGTCATATATTTTGCAGCTCCTTCGCTTGCTACCCATTAACCAGTTGCATCACCTGCTGTTTAACTCACCATTGATACACTGCCTGCTGGTACCGCATAAGTACAGCTCTCCACCTATGAGTGTGGAGTTAGGTGCAGTACCCTCAAGTCACAATAGCACCACTTAGCTTAGTTATAGGAAGTATATGATGAGTGCGGTCTCCCTCTCGCAGTTATTGTAATTGGGAGTCGCTCACTGAACTTCCTCATCAAATAAAACCCCCACCTGTTCCGCAGCTGAAATCCAGTTAGACGTATCACCTGTCCAGCCTTGACACAGATCAGTTAAGGTTTCATAGATTTCCAGAAGCATTTGATGAACCCTCCCATGAATCAAACTTTGAGAGAGCTTCCTTACTGCATAATGTTTCCACATTCTCAATCTGATTGTGGAAAGCTTCCTCTATAGGTACACTATGTATTGGCAATGCCAAGAAGACTTGGTGCACACCTCTGCAGATCATAATCTACTAAAAAACAGTTAGCAGCCTCAACTTCTCACTGGCTGATCTGCACCTTTCTCACTATAATTAATTCTACCTCCTACATGCAACTGCATCCCGCAGAGAAAGGTCCGCCTGCTCTTTCTGTCGTCGCTGGGCGAGTTGGAGTTGCTGCGTGAGGGTACGACTTGGTTGACAGAGGAGTCGGAGTCGCTGGTTCACCTCCGGTACCGGAGCATCGAGGGGCAGGTCCGGGAGGGTCACCGGATGGTAGCCGCAGTTGGCGTAAAACGGGGAGAGGCCTGTGGATGAGTGCTGCTGGTTGTTGTAGGTAAACTCCGCTAACGGGAGATGGTCCACCCAGTCGTCCTGTAGATAAGAGGAGTAGCAGCGGAGGTATTGTTCAAGAGTCTGGTTGGTCCTCTCGGTCTGCCCATTAGTTTGCTGGTGGTAAGCGGAGGACAGGCTGCGGGTGATGCGGAGACCTCGGCAGAAATGGGTCCAGAAACGGGACGTAAACTGCGAGCCCCTGTCTGAGACAACTGTGTCGGGGAGCCCGTGTAGTCGGAACACATGTTGCAGAAAAAGACTGGAGGTTAGTTGTGCTGTGGGAAGGCCAGAGGTCGGGATGAAGTGGACCATCTTCGTGCATCGATCTACCACTACCATGATGGTGGTACAAGCTCGCGAGGGAGGTAGGTCCACGATGAAGTCCATCGCAATGTCCCTCCACGGTGAGGACGGCACCGGCAGGGGTTGCAGTAACCCGTCGGGTCGGGAGGTTGGTCATTTGTGGAGCGCACAGATAGAACATGACTCCACGAAGGAATGCACGTCCGCCGTCACGGAAGGCCAAAGCGGGAGAAAAAGAGGGCCCACCTGGCTTGTCGGGGCCGTAATCGCTTGGCACTGCGAAGGTACTCGAGGTTCCGGTGGTCCGTATAGACCACCACGGGGTTTTCTGCCCCCTCCAGTAGATGTCTCCATTCCTCCAGAGCATTTTTGATGGCGAGCAATTCCCTCTCGCCCACGTCGTAGTTACGCTCGGCCCCGGTGAGCTTGCGGGAGTAGAAGGCAATGGGGTGCAGGAGCTGCTTCTCCCCTTGGCACTGGGAGAGAATGGCTCCAACCGCCCCCTCGGAGGCATCGGTCTCCAGATAGAAAGGACGAGTGGTGTCTGGTTGCGCTAGAACAGGTGCCTGGGTAAACAATTGCTTGAGGCGCTGGAACGCCTTGTGGGCCTCTGGAGTCCAGCAGAACGGCACGTTACTCCTGGTCTGGGCAGTGATGGGGGCACAGACGGCTGAAAAGTTGCGGATGAACCTCCGGTAGAAGTTGGCGAAGCCGACGAACTGCTGTACCATCCGTCTGTTGCGGGGGATAGGCCACTCCAGGACAGCCCTGATCTTCTTGGGATCCATCTCTACTCGTCCAGGGGAGAGGACATAACCCAGGAATTCAACGGAGGTTACCTCGAAGGTGCTCTTCTCCAACTTGCCGTACAAGCTATGGGTTCGGAGGCGGCGGAGCACCGTTTTTACGTGCTTCTCGTGTTGTGGCAACGTCTGGGAGAAGACAAGGATGTCATCCAGGTATACGACTACATAGGAGTCCAGGAGATCCCGAAACACGTCATTGACGAAACACTGGAAGGTGGCAGGGGCGTTACAGAGCACGAAGGGCATCACGAGGTATTCGTAATGCCCAAACCGCAAGTGAAAGGCCGTCTTCCATTCATCGCCCTCCTTGATGCGGACAAGGTTGTAGGCTCCCAGGAGGTCGATCTTGGTAAAGAACCGGGCATCTTTCACCCTGTCCAGTAGTTCAGGAATAAGGGGAAGCGGGTACCGGTTCTTCTTGGTAATGTCATTGAGGGCCCTGTAGTCCACGCAGGGTCGGAGGCCGCCATCCTTCTTCCCCACGAAGAAAATGCCGGCCCCAACCGGTGAGGTGGAGGGGCGGATAAACCCCTTCGCCAGGCTGTCTTCAATGTAGTCCTTTAAGGTCTTGGTCTCGGGTTCAGAGAGGTTGTATAGGCGCCCATAGGGCAATGGAGCTCCCGGGAGAAGGTCGATAGGACACTCATATGGCCTGTGGGGAGGCAAGGTATCTGCGCCTTTTCTCTCGAACACGTCTGCATACTCACGGTATTTGTTGGGCAATCCGTGTTCGATAGTACCTAGGGCAGTTGGAGGGCTGGAAACGCAAGGAGCACAGATCGAGGAACTGGAAGGGGACTGGAAAGAGACGGATCCAGTGGCCCAGT